CTACCAGGAAAAAATAAGAAAAGGAAAGAAAAACAGAGAAAGTCCCGCCATGCAAGTTGCTTCAGTTCAGCTAAACAGATGGGTTATATTTTCAGGCAATAGTTAAATAAAAGTACAATTTATTAAATGGCACATTTTTTTTGAGTTGGGGTCTCACTGTGTTGCCCAGGCTGGTGGTCAGTGGCACACTCACGGCCACCGCAGCCTTGACCCGTTGGGCTCCAGCAATCCTTCCACCTCAACTTTTCAAGCAGCTGGAACTACAGGCACACACTACCACACAGCTAATTTTTTGAGTTATTGTACAGATGAGGTCTCACCATGTTGCTCAGGCCGGTCTTGAACCCCTGGGCTGAGGCAATCCTCTACATCTCGGCCTCCCAAAGTGCTGGGATGACAGGCTTGAGCTACCACGCCCGGCCGGTACATACTTTTTTTGAGTGATAATATGAGTACCTAGCACTTATGAAAGGCTTACTTTACATATGTACTAACTCATTGAATCCTCACAACTCCGTGAGGTCGATTTTATTCCCATTTCCCAAAATGGGAACCTGGAGGAGCAGAGACGACAAGAAGCTCGTCCCTGGTTGTGCAGCTGGCAGTGCAAGGTCCGTGTTGGAGTCCAAGGCATCCAACCCCAGAGTCCATGATTTCCACACTGCGGTGCTGTCTTGGGGAGGAGCGAAGCATCCGACAGTGTTGGGAGGACGCTTGGAGCGATGACCCTTGGGCTGCGGGTTACAGAAGGAAGGTGTTCGCGGGAGCACGGCGAGGGAGCAAACGGAGCGGAGTGATGTGGTGAGAAGGCCCGGGAGGAACTGGAGGCTTGAGGACGGCACCTACCTGGCAGCAGTACCAGCAGCGAAGGTTCCTCTGTCCTGGCCGCGCGCCTAGTGCCGCCGTGTCTTCACTGGGCTCTCCTCTACTCCGGGCAGCAAGTCTCTGGAGTTGGGCTTGTTATCCCCCGCTTACCTAGATGGCAAGCAGCAAATCTCTGCATCAGGATCTGGATGCCAGCCGGCTGACTCTCAAGGCTGGGCCCTGCCCCTGCACCGTGGTGGCACAGGTGGGAAGACGGGGAACAGCCCCTCCACCCCAGCTGGACTTTTTTGCTTTCGTTTGGGCTAGGCAGGGTGGCCAGAGAGTCTAGGAAACTTCGAAAACCAGATGGGGAGCCAGTTGCTTCGAAAACGGCTGCTTTTCTCATTAAAATGGAGCCTCCAGTGGTACACATTGGCTGTTCTTGCCTAGTTGTAGATGTGAACGGAAATAGAGTCATTTGGGAAGCGCTTCACAGAGGCCCCAGCACTCAGTCGCCCTCTGATCCAGCCTTTCCTGCTCGCAGCCCTTGGCGGCCAAGATATATAGTCACGATTGTTTGCTTTCCTTCTATTTAGATCCTTCCAGGAAAGTGTGTAGAATAGAAAGCACAGTGGCGTGTCACATATTCCTGCGTGGCTCCCTTGTGTACCAAAAACGTTGCCAATGCCCCAGAAGCTCTTGGTGTACCCCCCACAACTAACTGGTGTCCTGCTAATGGACGTGCCCACTCCATTCTAGCTTCTCCCTATAGTCTTACCAACTAAGTGTGTTGTCGCCCTGATCACTGTAGTTTAGTTTTGCCTGTGTTTGAATGTTGTATGAATGAAATCGTGCATATAATTAGTGTTATGAGATTCATCCATGTTCTCGCATGTAGCAAGCATTAATTCGTTTTCATTGTTGTCTCATATTTTATTATATGGATATAGTACAGTTTGTTTATGCATTTTATACTATTTGGACAGTTTGGTTTTTGGCCTCCAGTGTGAGGCTATCACAAACAGTTTTATTGGGAACGCTCTTATGCATATAAGCATGCGTTTCTGTAAAACACACCTGAGGGTGGAATTGTTGGGTCATAGGTAGTGCAAGCTTGAACTTTCATAGATACAGCCAAACTTTCCAGAGCGTTTCCACCAATTATTTCCACCAGTGACGTGTGGAGTTTCCACTGCTGTGTATCCTTGACCAAAAAATGACCCATTTTTTCCAATTTTAATCATTTTGGTTGGTGTATAAGGATATCTCATTGTGGTTTTAACCTTTTTTTCCTTTTGGCTAAGAAAAAGTCAATAAGAAGCTTATGAAGTTATTGACTAAGAAGAAGCCTTTGATTTTCAGTTTTCCATGCAGTCCCTATCTTAGTACTGCAGTCAGGAGTTGATGATACTTTTTAGAAAGAATATCTTTAATTTTAACTGGATGCATAAAAGCAGTTAGTTTGGGATATTGCCCGAGAGTCTTACTTTATACTTTTTATTGGCTTATCTAAAAAACAGATGTAGTATTTCTTTTCATAATTATTAACCTGCTATTCCAGGAATCATAAGAATTACTGAAATAAGTATGGTCTGTGGTTTACAGACTTGGATTTAATGAGTAAATCTTCCTAGTTCCTCAGGAATTGAGCCATTTTTTCTTTGTTAGTTCTTTTTTTTTTTTTAATTGAAGTTCAACCATGGTAACTGACCTGGTTGACATTGAATGGCTAGTTACTGTTGACTGAAGTAAAACAGACTTTAACAGCTCATGGGGAACGTCTGAAAGGTAAAGTGACTCAAGATAAGTGTCTGTGTTCTGCTCTGAAAATAGCAAAAGGCATACGGAACCCAGAGCTAATTGACTTGTCAGCTTAATCTCGCTTTAATAATGCTTTGGCATAATAAAAATTGTACTGTGATTTCTTTTTGCACAGTTAATACTTAGAATGGAAAAGAATTAAGATGGTAAAGCTTTGAAGGTATTAAATGCTGGTTAAATTCTGTAAATAAACTCAAAGTGTGTGAGTGTGTGTGTTTAAAGTTTTACATGTACTGAAAAGAGAATTTTGGAGTTTTTTTTGATAACTGAGTGTCCAAAAATGCCAGTTTTGTAGCTATTTATAAGTATAAAACAATTATGTTGTTTTATTCTCCGGTTTGATGGAAACATGTACATTTCTAAAATATGTTTGAAATAGAATAATTTAACCTCAGATTTTGTCCCATTAATAGTCAGTTAGTAGTAGAAGGACTTTTAAGCCAAAAAGTTTTAGGTACTTTAAAGGTTGATATAAACTTCATCTGAAAACAATTATAATTTAAACTTGGAAGGTAAATACTTAAAATGTAAAATCTGGTTCCAACAAGTAGGAAAAAAATATGCTATGTGTATGGTTGTTTTTGATACTTAATAGGAATGAACCCTGGACCAATTGTGGTTTATTCTCCTGGTTGGCTTAGAAGTTGAATATAATTGGTTGTACAACTTTTGATTCAAACATTTAATTTAGACTAAATGGTTTGGATTAAAAAATACTCTACACGTCTTACATAAAGTCACAAGTTGTGTCTTCTCGTACTTAGGAGTTTTAAAAAGAACTTGAAAGATTTCTGGTAAAGGTAATGAATTTTACTTTTGGAAAAATATAGAAGTTTGGAAGAATGAACGTCAAAGAGATTTCTGGTTTCTTTTTTCTTGAAGTTGGAGTACAGTGGCATGCTCACAGCCACCCCAGAGTTGATCTGGTAGGCTCCAGCAATCCTCCTGCCTCTGCCTTCAAAGTAGCCAGAACTACTAGCATGCACTACCATGCCCGGCTAATTTTTTTGATTTATTGTACATACGAGGTCTCACCAAATTGCCCAGGCTGGTCTCGAACCCCTGGGCTCAAGAAATCCTCTCACCTCGGCCTCCCAAAGTGCTGGGATTAGAGGCTTGAGCCACAGCGCCCGGCATCTGATTTCTTTTTAAATAAGATAAAGTTTTGAACAAATTTTTCAGATTAAGAATCAAAATGAGAAAAGTCTGTATATATTTTATATTTTTTGCTTTTGTATCCTTGTGATAAATTTTGAAGTATATCATGTTTTCTCCAGTGTAGTCACATATGTAAGCAAGCAAATTATATTTATTTGAAAATGTGATGCTAACAATTAGATAATAGTGATAACAGTATATGAAGATATTCGCACCCACATTTAGAATGCTGACATTCAGATTAACCATTTCCAAAGTATGTATACTTTTTCAGGACTGGGCATAGTAGCTCATGCCTGCAATCCTAGCACTTTGGGAAGCCGAGGCAAGAAGATTGCTTGAGGCCAGGAGTTTAAGACCAGCTTAGACAATATAGCAAGCCCATGTCTCTATAAAAATTTTTTTAAAAATGAGCCAGGTATGGTGGTGTGCACCTGTAGTCCTAGCTACTCAGGAGGCTGAGAGAGAAGGATCAGTTGAGCCCAGAAAGTTGGGGCTGTGGTGACCGTGATCATGCCACTGTCCTCCAGCCTGAGTGACAGAGTGAGTTCCAGACTCAAAAAAAGCAAAAGCAAAAACAAAAAAAGGTTTTCAGCTTCTTAAAATTATTGAGGCAGTTATATTTGGCTCTCAAGTAAGTAGAATTAACATCAGGGACCTAGATCTGATCTCTTCTTGGCCATTAAGTTTTGTAAAGTTGGCCTCAAAACCTGAAAAACTAACAAATATGTTTGTGAGTTGTTTTACTCAATCAGCTTGTCACAGGTATCTATCCAGCTAACATTTTACATTAATAATTCAGTTGATATGGATGAACCTGCCAGTTCTCCCCACTTGGCCAGGACCACTTTGAAATAAATTACTCTTTTTCAAACCATCTCTGGTATATGTGGATTTTACCATGTGTGGTAGATAATTCAACTCCAGTTAATATGTACTTAAAAGCCCTTTTAATCCAAAATTAAGCTTAATCCCTTTTTAAATTAAAAATGAATGTCTGCTTTATGGCACTTTCTCTTTTGCTTGGCAGTTTCAGAATCAGCTCAAAGGCGGACACTTTGAGAGTCTTATATCTCCCATGGATTTGTATTGTTTTCCTTTTAGATTTCAGTAATCTAAATAAAGACTATGGGGGGATAACAAAAAACTGGTGATAGAATGTAAGCTATGGCCACGAAGGGAGTGTCACTTGCTGACTTCTCACCTTTACTTTTAAGATAAAGACACGGACGTCACCGTGAAGGGGAGTGGGGACGACTTTGGCTTGCGAGACACCTTGAGCGTGGCGTCCACGGACTCCTTCACTTCGGCAGCTGAGGTGGGACAAGGGGGTTCCTGATGGGGGTTTGTCTGTCTCTCTTGACTGGGGGGAGCGTTGTGCTCCTGTACGGTAATTCGGTTCAGTCACCCTTTATTTAGCATCTGCCCGGATACAAAGATAAATGTAGCGTGAAAATTAGCTTTCACAGATATTCACAGCCTCTTTTTTTTTTTTTGAGTTGGAGTCTCACTCTGTCGCCCAGGCTGGAGTGCAGTGGCCGCTCCC